AATTATAAATTAACATTATATCATATATGAAAATTACATACTTATAGAAATTCCATTGCAATACTTTTCTTCAAGATATTTATTCTACCATCAATAAATTTTATTTCATCTCATTTTTTTTTGTAAATTTAGCTATTTAATTTTAGTGTATTACATAACAATCTTTATAAACATAATAATTAATTTATTTTACAAACTTTATTTACTATTTAGTTATTCTTGATCCTTTACAATTATGAAAATTTTGTTATCGTTTACATTTTATGCCATCAATATAGTAATTCATCACATGTAAGTAATGTTGTATATATTTATAATGTTCATTTTTTACTAAGCTCAAATTTTAAAAAGTGATACCCATTATCTAACTTATTATTTTAAATATTATATACAAACATACAATAATTTGATTGCATCATTTGTACATGTGCACATGATCGAGTACTAACACTAAAGATAGTGAAAATTAAATTAAAATTAAATTAAATTTTGAGTAAGAATTAAACGCCAGTAAATTATTTCGTAAACAATTATGCACTTAATTTGTCACATCCTTTAAACCTTGGTCCCATGCCCACCTTCACCTTCTGACACCCATATTCAGATGTTTTTGTCTCCTTTTTGGTGTTTTAACTCTATGCGAGCTGCAAATTACGATATCACCCCTCTGCATTGAATGTGGTAACTCCAAAAGTCCAAATCCAGTAAGCACTGAGTTGTCATCCCAAGACCTTCGGCCCGCCAATTTCTAGAACCCGGTTGCGGGCTCAATTGGTCCGGTCTTATTTTCGATTCTGTGGATCTTCACAGCCCCACCATATATATGCACACCCGACCTGTATGGAGTCGGGTCTTATTTAGCTGTGAGTTAGGATTGCAAACGAGTCGAGTTGAGGCGAGCATTGATTTTATCAAGTCGAGACGAGCATTAGTCTTATTGAGTTTGACGCGAAATCAAATGCTCGAGCTCAACTCGAGTTCGACTCAAAAATTTTAAGTGAAATAACATTAAGCACTTGTATTATACTATTTAAATATATATACAAGGGGTATACTAATAATTTAATATATATATATATCAAGCTGCTCGACAATGTAAAATTTGAGCTTGAGCTCGATTCGAGTTTGTGCTCGAGTCGCTCGAGCTCGACTCGAGCTCGTGTTACCGAACTCGAGTCGAACTTTGACTCGAGCGTTTGCGAGCCGCTCGACTTTTTGCATTCCTTGTTGTGACTAAGTAAATCAGGGTATGCCTAGAGAGTGGATATAAGTTTGTGATTGAATATTTTGGTTTTGATTTGTTCACTTGTTAATTGTAGTTAATGTTAAAAAAAGTTTGTTGAGTTAAATTTGAGTGATATTTTGATTTTATATTCAAACAATATTTAAAATATAATGATTAACATTGATTTAATAAAAGTATGATATAACTGATTGAAAGTGATGAGTATTTAAACTATATGAGTGTACGAACAATGAATTGAAATTGATATAATGTATAAAGATTATTGATTGTATTATTTAATAATTACATTTATAAATTAAATTTAAAGTTAATAAAAAAATAATTGGTGAAAAATAATTGAAATCTGGTTAGATTTGTTACATCCAAGCACACTCTCAATATATCTATTATTTGTAGGCCACAATCAAAGAGTGTCTAAACTTCAGTCAAAATTGAAATAACCGTCCTACCCGGCTCGATTCCGAATTAGTTGGTTCCTTTGTAGATCCAGAAACCGGAAGGTCCATGTACCAAAAAAAAATTGAAATACCCGAATGAAAATCGATTTCTCTTTGTTTTTTAATGTCGGTTCGATTATCAATTTTTTTTTTTCTTCTAGTTTTTCTACCATTTCAATTTGAATTTTTGATTTTATTTGTATGAATATATGAATTACCGAACCGACTAAATAATATGATAATATTCTCATATGCTTAATTAAATATTTTACATTTTAAGTGAAGCATCGTAGAAAATAAAATAAACGAATCAAATATAATAATTTTTATTATATAGTTTGATTTCGGTTCGGTTTCGATATATGACAAAACTAATTGGTTAGTTCAAATTATATCAAAATCCTTGAATCTCCCATTTTTTTTTTATATTTTTTTTAACATTATCCAATTCAAGGCCACTCCTCGATATAATTACCACTAACCCTACATATAATGACCAATTAAACTTACTAATTCCACAATTTGACCATAAAAAAAAGTAAATTAACATCGCGATTTACACTGCCCAAAGCATATGACTTATATCTCTGAGAATAACACCTAGAGAACCAGTTTTTATTTTACTTATTTATTATGTATTTATTTAATACTAACAACATTGTTAGAATCTAGAATATATTGGTAAGTGTAATTAATAAAGAATGCTGGGGTGGAAAGTTTAAATTAATATTACTTTGAGGAGCAGCACAGCACAGTCCTTCTCTCTCTTGGGGCAAGTAATTATGTGAGTAATTAATTTGTAAGCAAAGTTATGTGAAAACGAGTCTTACACTGGCCCTTATGGAAGCATTATACGGGGGGTTCGTGAGCTTGTGGGGCGACAATGGTCGGTTGAGATCGTGCATGGGTTTCGTGAGGCGAATTTTGTTGCAGACTACTTGGTGTCGTTGGCGGCTAAAGGCCCTAGTGGTCTTTACAAGTTGGAGCATCCTCCCCCGGGCGGGCGTATGGTTACATCATGATATGATTGGAGTGTCTTATCCTCAGAGAGTACTTTATTAGATTTCTTGTTATTGCGTAGGCTTTGTCTCCTCTTATTGTACCAAAAAAAAAAAAAAAAACCAAAATTCCAGTTTTGCATGTGTCAACTTGAACTTTACCCAACAACTATATACGTATTTAAGATCTAACATTTTTATTTTATTTCTTTATTTTTTTATTTTTATTTTTCTAAATAATCAACATATATAAGTTTAGAAAATGTCAAGGTCTCGTTACGGGATGGTACCGTCAGTGTTTTTTTATCATTGAATATATATATAGATTATGTTGTGTGAATAATCAACTATAACCAACACTATTACACGGGACTGTAATAGTTCTCTATAAGTTTATTTCTATTAAAATAAATATGATGGGCCAATCTTAATGAATCTTTAATCTGACTCGTACAAGCTGCATGTTGCACTGTTAACTTGAAATTTTTCCTTCTAAATTCAAATTTTTTTGGTACAGGGACCTTCCGGTTTCCTTCTAAATTCAAATTAACTCATAAAGTATAATAATAATAATAATAAAAATATTGAGTACATAAATGGAAACTATACTAAATAATTGTGTTGTCCCTATGGAATTTTGATGTGTGAAATACTATGTATATATTATGTTTCAGCAACAAAAGTGTAGCATAAATGGAAATTTGACCAACTAATTCTGATAACTTTATTAGTAATTCTTGTTTGAATTAAAAACTTTTCATACAGACAGATTCTGGCTATCTTGGCTGAAAATGGAATTTATCATTGTCAGTTTTTTTTTTTTTTAATTTATTTTGTGAAAAAAAATATAAAAAAAAATGTTTCTATATATTCATGCTTCTGAAATAATTTTGACTTGTAGTGCAAAACACAGGAAAAAAGTGCTGATGGGATATTTATTTTATTTTATTTTTAATTTAATAAAAATGTATTTAAGAAACCCTAGTTGTTATAGCTGTTGCAATTTATTTTGCTATTGTTATTTGTTACTATTCCCAAAGCTGCAAAATGACAGTGGACAACAGCCTGCAGGCTAACCCCCCACCCTTCAGCCTTTACTCTTATTTTTATTATTATTATTATTTTTTTTTTAAGTTCAAACAACAAAAAAAAAAATGTATTTATTTATTTATTTATGTGTTTTTAATCTTTGAAGTTTGGTCCTTTTTTTTAAAAAAAAAAAAAAAATTATATTAAATGTTCTGTCCTAGTGTACAATTTTTTTAATAGTATTATGTGCTTGTCCGTGATGGATTCATAAAAGAGACAGAGCCGAGCTCGAGTATGGGATTTGAGCCTTTATCAAGTCGAGTTTGTTACCGAGCTCTAACATTGACTTGCTACGAGTCGAATTCGAGACATAATGAGTTGAATTTTGTTAAAACGAATTCGAGACATAATGAGTTGGATTTTGTTAAAAATATAGTAAATTATGTAAAATTTCATAATTAAACAAGTCCAACTAGTGTTGTTAAAGAAAAATGTCAGAAGTACATAATAAATGTACATAGAGGAGTACATAACACTCACATGGAGTGAAGTCCACTTAATTTTTTAATTTTAGTAGGTCCCACTAAATGTGAGTGTTATGTACACTCCTATGTACAATATTATGTACCTATAGCATTACTCGTTAAATTAAACGAGTATGTCTCGGCTCGACTCGACTCGTTAAGTCTCGAGTCAGGCTCGAGTTCGAGGCCTTAACGAGCCGAGTTCGAGCTCATTTAAAACTCGTTTGGTTAACGAGACGAGATCAGCTCGACTCGATAAAACTCGTTAAGACTCGATAAGATAGATTTTTATGTATTTTTTCATAATTCGCCTCTTTAAACCTCAAAATCGAGACCTTAATGAGTCGAATCGAATTCGACTCGTTAAGTGCTCAGGATGAACGAGCTCAACTCGACTTATTTATAAGCCTAATCCCAACAAATCATTAACTGAGTTCAAACTCCATCTCCACTTGTTAGATAGCTAAATAAGTAATAACATAGGATAATTAAAATGATAAATCTTACACTTGAGTGCATGTAGAAGATACCATAATCCATTAGAGTGTGGCCATTGAGAAGCCCCTGCAAATCAAAAAAGCCTTTTCTTTACCAACTTTTTTTTTCTCATTTAAACCACACCAAAGCATAAAGTTTTTTTACCACACCAAACCCAAAACCCCCAACTACAAAAAACTCCTCTCTCTCTCTTCTCTCTCTCTCTCTCTCTCTCTCTCTCTCTCCCTGAAGGCTGAAACTGACTTTTTTTTTTTCTTTTATTTTTCACATGGAACTAAATCTGAAGCCATGGATAGATGAGTCAGCTGTGACAGAGGAAGAAAATCAAGAAACAAAGCTGCTCCAAAACCCTTCTTCTTCTTCTTCTTCCTCACCTGCACTCCCTTTGTTCTTCTCTGAACCCAACACTTCCAGCCATCATTTGTCAGTCCCTTACTCATCTGATCATCCAAACACGCCCTTATCTGCTGCCAAATTCCCCTGTACTCTCTCTCTCTCTCTCTCTCTCTCTCTCAAGAAACCATTTTTTTTACCTTCAAGATTACATTTTTAGCTTATTTTTATCCTTTTTCAATGATTTTATTTAATGGGTTCCTTCAAATATCACCTTTTTAGCTTATTTTCACATTTTTTCAGTGATTTTATCTAATGGGCTCACTTTATTTTATGTTTTTTTTTTTTTTTTTTT